ACAAATTATATAGTCAACAGTGGAAGATTTGAGGATTTTCAGCCGTTTCAAGGATGCTGTATAGAGCTCAGCTTACAGCAAGGAAGATGGGTGATATTTTATCATTAAATCCTTTTTGATAATGGAAAACACAATGAGCTGGTCATCTGTGAGAATGAATAATTCATCCGCTGTATCTGTCAAGCACTCTTGTGCTGTCAGCATCAACACAAATAATCAAAGGCCAGCGAGAGTTGCTCATGTGAACTCAGGAAGCCCATTATACCGCATAAAAAAGAGACTGTCCATTGTTTTCTTGACCATTAATGCTCATATATTAATCTCCTCTAGAATCCCTTTCACTGAAAACACAAAATATGGTCTCACAGCAAGCCAGGAGATGGGTTTGAGCACATTTTTACATTTTATGGCCGTATCCTCAAAAACAAAGTCTTACTACAAGAAAATGAATTCTCTGCAAAAATAAGTGTTACTGGTGGTTCCTGCCTCTCCCTCATGCGGTGTGTAGTGTAGGCCCCCAATTTCCAACCTTGGGATAAATCAAGTGTGGTCCTGACTTTGGATTTTTGGGATTTGATGATGAGGGATGGAAAATGCAAAGCTGAAAAAAAAAACCTTAAAGCATTTGCTGCAGCAGATCTCCATTTCAGTCACTTTTCGCTTAGTATCATTCCACTTTTTCTGTTTTTTGTGTTTCTCCCAACAAGATACTCTCCAATATGTGTGTGTCACAGTTTCATAATTATGGACAGACAGACAACCTCTAACCTGCTTACATAAAAAAAAGAAGTGACTATAGCCGTATACAGAGCCATTGAGCCATATACAGTATGACCATCATAAAACCTTCAGAGTGTTGTATTTATTATATACCATACCCATTCCTAAACCCACATTGGTCTCCTATTCTCAATATAGTGGACACACAGTCTTAACATTGAAACATGCCCAACATCCACACTCAGTGTTCTCTCTGTCTACTCCTTTACCGAGTTACAAATACTATACAAGTAACATCTACCTTGGCCAGTAACAAATGTGACTTTTAGGTAGTTTTAAAGGGAGAAAATACACAAAGTCTGTGCGTGAGATGATGCTTGGCGGACTCTCTGATGGCTTTCCTTCGAAGAATGACGCATGAAGAGATTATCACACCCTTAAGATGTCAGAGAATGTTTTATGAATATTTGGCTGTTCAAACATGGAAAATGGTTATATGTGAGTGCATGGCTCAGCTCACTTTGACCGGGCACTGCAAACAGCGCTGTATTGACAAGTTATTATCACAGCAGTGTACTTTGAACTTCCCTATGGCCTTTTTGCATGTTTGGCTTCAAATCAATACGCTTGTCGCAGACGTCCCCTTACGATCTTTGAAATGATGCACCTCTCGGAGACGCATTGGTAAACTTAAACTAGAACTTGCTTAGATATGGTGTACCACGATGGTCAGAGTCTGCATATCCAGTGTGTGAAGATGTTGTATTGACCTGCTGCATAATGTGAAGATAAAGAAGTTGGAGTCCTTGATGGATAATCCTATCTGCGTCCAGTAGATTGAATACATCCCATTTGCTGCTAGGCGAGAGGCAGGGTACATCCACCGTGGGTTTCCTGTATCTTCATACCGTATCTGCATTTAGAGTAATATATTCTCTCACCAGGGATTTTTTTTTCTTTTAAAATTCATAAAATCAATATGGCCTTCTCATAATGGGTCTTAAAACCAATCAGGTGAAAGGCAGAGCTCAATTGGAAGTGTGAAATAGTCAGTTTTGATCAATACTTCCTGTCCTGCAATCACACCTCATAAAGAATGACACACTGGGAGTTCCCATGAATCGATTAATTGCATGTTTTCATGCTACAAGGAGCAACAGGACCATCAATTATGTGCCATAAATTCAAATTTTATAGGGCTCCGGAGGAAGAGATTTTTCTTTTCATCTCCTCAATATTCACTATTTGAGTTTTATTGCAATCAGTTTGTTTTCCAGATACATATTTGTCCCCTTTATCACAGGTTGCCACCAGTTCTTAAAGAGATGCCTTCCAAATTATTGACTTAGGTCAGAGAAATTGCATAAACGTTGCTTTTTCCACTATGAAATTTCACCTCTATTCACTCTGACCTTTTTAACCTTTTCTGGTCATGTTGGCGGTTTTGTTTTTCAGTATGAATTTGACTTCCTGGTTCTGTTATCTTTTGTTGGGTTTGTCTGAGTTCTTCTTTTAGTTTCCCGTTCTTAACATTTGCTCACTTTTCATGCCAGTATATTTCCTGTTTCACTCAGTAGTATCAGAGTTCAGTAGTCCATTGTCCATTTTGCTTAGCAACCTTCCAAACACAGAAGCTCAACAATTCCAAATCACTTGATCCCACAATTTTCCGAGTTTGTGACTTTAAAATAGAGTTACATTTGTCCGATTTTTTTAACTTTGATTATTGTTTATTAATATGTGAGCATGAAAGTGAATTTGCACAGTATGGGCAAGAATAGGGTTCAGTTTTGATGTTTTTCTTTCGGGGCTGCACAGTGTTGTGGTGGTTGGTACCATCGCCTTACAGCAAGAGGGTTCCAGGTTCCAATCCCCAGGGAACTAAGGGGCCTTTCTGTGTGGAACACATATGTGAACATTTTTGAGAACACATGTGGGTTTTCTCCAGGTACTCCAGCTTCCCCTCAAAGTTTAAAAACATAATTTTTACATTAATTTATGGACTGTTGACCTGTTGTCCAGTGGAAGCTGGGATAGGCTAAACTCCCCGTCTGAAAATACTTTTTTCCAGAATATTTGGATATTATTTTGAGTGTCAGTGCTGCTCGCTGACATCGGAGCCTGGCTTAAGTGTGTTTGGATTGTCAATCCAGCGCAGGAATTTTTTCCCAGTTCCCAAAAAATGTTTCCAACCACATTCCCTTCACCCTTTAACATCTACGCTTAGAAAAAGAAAAATGACAGGAAAATATTTCTTTGCATTTTTTTTCATTTCTTTTTTTACTATTCAACTACTACTTCAAGTTTTTCTGTGTCCCTCTTCTTCCTTCTCTTTCTTTGATCCTTGTATATCAGAATCAGCTTTTTTGGTCAGTATCTGTGTCCATACAAAGTGACTCCAGTCACTTTGCTCTCTTGAGTAAGCATTAAAAAAGGAAATTACGTATAAATTAGACTTTATTATTTACTATTTGCTACACATTTTTATTAGTCCTTCTTTTAAATCCTATTCTTCCTTTTCCTTAAGTCATGTGTTGTGTCTTTAAGTTGATACATGAAATAATATCTATGTTGACTGAACCATTGAAAAACTTAACTGAATGTATTCCTAATACCAAAGCAAAGGTTAAAACATATATATATACTTTTAATGACCTTCTACTGACAGGTAGTGCAAATGCTGCGTGATTTCCATATATTTGGTGGTAAAGATGTTTAACTGGGATTCACAAATGTTTTTTTTTCTTTACATTTTACATTTTGCTCAGCGTACAAGCCGTACATGCTCTCCAGCATTCAGTAAAGAAAATGCACTAATTAAATTCAGTGTCGGGAGACTGTCATGGCAACCCAAAGCTCTGAACAGATTCAGCAGCAGACCACTCTCCAGCTTTTATCACAAAGTACTTGTTTCTTGTTGTTTTTTTTATTCCTGTACTTTCAAAAGCACACTGTCCTTTTATCTACTGAGGAAGACAACTGAGAACCATGAAAGAGAAACTGGAAGGTACTTCTATTATTATGACTCCAACATGTGGAACCTAATTCTCTGTCAGAGAGCGGACTTATAATGCCTTTTTGCAGCTCAGTGTAGACATACAATAACATACAGAGACTTATTATTCATTTGCTCCTTTCCCCTGATATTTGATGTTTGTGCCATGCGTCAGTCTACCATGTACAGATAGTTGCTTATACATACGTTCTACTTAAATCCCTTAAACATATGGACATCACAGTTCAGTTTTTTAACTCCCTCAATCATTTCTAACCCAGTAATTCTCTTTCAGTTTTTATATATATAATATATATATATATTTTTTCACATAAAAAAGATATAGATGAGTCGAACTATGCGCTTATTTGCTCACAGGATCAGGAATGTTTTGTTTCTGATCATGTATATTGTTCTGCTTTTGATCATATTATTCTTTCTTTATCATTTTCCTGCTTGACCATTTAGCTATATTTTGTAATCTTCTCATATGGTCACATTTCCCTCTCAACCCATCACTAATTTAACATTTTTTGCACTTAAGAATCTCCTTTAAATAAGATATAAATGGGTTTTAAATACAATTGTATTTACATGTATATATTGTACATATTGTACATATATTATATATATGTAAATGCTAATTCTTCACCCCACTTACATCTACAAGCTTAGAGTAAAATAGTAAAAGACCATCTCAACTGTCCATTAAGGAAAAACATTTTGCTATCCGTCTCTTACATCACTGGCTGTTCTTTATGGTACAAAGTCCATGCAAAGAATCTGTATGCATGTTTCAAATTTGTAGTACACTGTTCTTCCAAAGATAATGGGAATAGCATTAGGATTTGTTCTCAGAAATGGTTGAGAAATCAGTATATCCCTTACTATCATAACAACATGTCCATTATGACGTCTCAGGCTCAGGATGGCACCAGAGGGAAAGTCTGGGGATCAGTATGTATTTCTCTATCTGGGGATTTTTATATATTTTAATACTTTTAATATCTTTTTTTAAGTATATCTGCTACATAATGAATCCCTCCAACACTACATTAAAGCATTAGGGAGGGTTTAAAAACACTTTGCACTGAAAAATTATGAAAGACAGTCCCCAAAGTATGAAGACAAATTTCAGTTCTAAGTATCTCAGTTTGATATTAATCAAATTTTAGGTTAACAAAATAGAATCCGTGAAGTGACAAATGAGGCTCCAACCAGATTGTGGGTTAGAGTGAGAGTTAACTCTCACCTGACTCGGCCTTGGACTTGGCAGCGGGCTTCAGCTGACGCTGGGGGCAGATGGCCTCTCTCTCAGGCGTCAGGCGTCAGCTGTTTACGAGCACAGATGAGGGACTTAGTGGTCTGAGGCTCAGTCTCACGCTCAGCCCTCAGAGGGAACGAGATAACTACTACAAACTCTTGACAAACTCCAAACCTTCAGCTCCCTTTTGGATTTACTTGGAATTTGACAAACCAATGAAGATGTGCTGTTTCTCACATGAAGTAAAGGTTTAATGGAGGACATGCGTCATTGCAGGTGGGGTTAAGAAACATAATTACTTCTTTTATGTAGTTATTGTAGGCATGTACATGTTTCACATGGAATGATTTGTGTCTGTATTATCATAGATGGCTGCTCTGAAATGCACAGCAAAAGTAATGAGCACAGAAGCATTTTCTTAGCGTAGTTTCCCTAAACAACCACAAAGTAACAAACAAAGAAACATTGAATCGTTCATCAGATTTTATTCTATTTCATCACAGATGTTTATCTGTTGTAAAGTGTTTTTGTGTTGCGATCACCCCCTGAATAGAACATACAGTCTAGAGTCGGATCGCCCATCTGCTAAAGCTCCCCTAATTCCATTTGCTGATCGTAGGATCTGTCTGAACAGCTTATGCTGTCTTCACAGTGAGGCACACCACAGCAAAAACAGTTGTGCCACGAGCCAAGATAAATCAGGTGTGCAAATGTGACTCGTGCCATTACATCGATGGAACTCTTTGGTCCTAGAAGAGCTTTATAGTCCAGCTTAAAAGATGTTCGTTTCTTTTTTTTTTACTTCATAATTCATACATAAAAGGGCTTTTAAGTGGGGGGAAAATGAAAAAGTATGATATTATTGGTGCACATTGAACTTGAAACATAACTATAACAGTTACCTTTAAGCATGATAGTTGCAGTTTCAGGTTAGAGTTTGTTCTTTATCTACTTGACTAGAAACTAAATAATGCATTTGCGTTTAGTTCATGTAATGCAAATATTTAGTACTTAAATAATGTGTTAAATACAAGTGTTTTTCTCAGATTATTTCTCATGCCTTTCTGCTTTGCCCCCTCTTCATTTGTTTACAATAACACAATCCAAGCCATTTAATGTTCAACTGAGACATAAAAACCGATTTCATAAGTTGATCTGATTTGTATGAAAATTGACCAAAAAGAAAGTAATCTCAAAGTAACATTAGCGTTCATTACAAACTCAATATTCCTGTTTTTGTCTGAATTCTCATAAGCAATCATCAACAAGGAAAAACTGGTGCGCCAAATTTAATTGCTTTGTTTGTTTTTTTATCACAATGTTGGATATTTTATGATTTGGTGTGTGTTTCTGCCATTTTAAGTTCTAGGACTTTTATTCTTTTTTTTTTTTTTTACTGGCCAGGTGTTTGTTTTCATTCCATCATTCAGCAAACAGAGTTCAAAACCAGATGCTCTGAACAATGCATCTGAACGGTGATGGCCCTCAGTCACCAGGTCATTTCCTCATCCGCATCCTGTTCTTGAACAAAACAGAAACTTGGAAGGGTTCCCTGGTTTCCCTGTGTGGTTCACAATGGGAAGAACCACATCCTGTCATATTTCCCCCTGTTTTAAAAAAATATATAATTCAATGTTTTATTCTAAATCATGATGGAGTTTGAAATTTCAAGTGGTATGCTTCCAGCTAAGCAACAATTGATGATCGACAACTGGGTCAGAGATGGAAGCAAATCTCTATTTATGTCACAAAAGCTAAAAACTGTCTTTTCGTCATTGCAGGTGCACAGCAGGAAGCTTTTTGGTGCGTGCCTGTGATTTAGGAGCTTCTACTTTCCCTGGAGCCTATATTCAGGATGTTCCAGCTTCCCTCCTTCAATGAACAAAGCTAATTCAAAGCAGCTGCACAGAAAAAGAAGCAATAATCCTCCAAGATGGCAGAGACCTCTCTCTATATTAGAGAGGAGCCTGAAGCTGGCTTAACTGAGGTGGACATATGCACCCTCGAGATTAATATACAATATGAGGCCATTCCATCTATTGTCTGCTCTGTTTGCCTCTCATTCGGGCTCATCTACTGCTTTTTCGGTACGTATTCAAAATCACGTCCGACGCCAATATTCATTTGAAGCCGCCTCCATTTCGCCATGTGAACATCAAATAACGCCAACTGTTTCTAATGTTTCATTAGCTCACCTGATTGTTTAAATCCTCACAGGCAGGTGTCTGTGGGCTGCCAGGGGTTTAGTGTGGATAAGCCCAAAGCTGGAGGGGGGCAGATGGCTCTCCTCTGTCTGAATTGGACAGAGGCAGCATATATGTGGAGTACCACCTGTTGCACTGAGTGACACGGTGTGAAAACCAGACAGCAGCTCGTTTGGATCCGCACAGTGATTTAGCATTCTTTGAGCACGCAGATCAACATGGGGTTATGAGAGGGGAAATTTAGAATTATTCCACTCCATCTGCTTTCAGTGGGGGAATGCACGGAGAACAACTCAGAAACCGTGACCCACTCCTTAAAGTCTGATAATAAGCAAACGCGCAAGCTGCCAGAGTCTGTTAGAGGTTAAGTGGCACCAGTGATGAAATACGCCAGTGTGAACTTGTTGTTGCTGCTAATTTTTATTTTTTGTATCAATGAGTTTAGTTATAGGGACATGTGCATTGTGCCCGGCCCACGTAAGCAGGCAGAAAAACGGCAGGGTGCAAATAATCATAAAAACAGCAAACTAACACAGGCACACAAATAAGTTCCAGTTGGAATATAAAAAGACAATTGCCTTAATATTATTTATTTGTATATATTAGGGTTCTTCCAAAGAAAAAACTATTGCTCACACAGACAACACAAAGGCTTGTCTTATTCAGTCGTCCTTAATGATAAAACAGAGCATTTATTTAATGACAATTCTTAATTGGTAGGTTAGCCATAAATGGTTTTAGAGCCATTCTCATCCGTAGAACCATCAACCGTCATTCAGATGATATGGGATGTCCAGTCAAAATTTTAGCCTTCACACTGGAAATGTGGGCTCTTTTTTTCCTGTCTTTTTTTTTGTTTTGTTTTGTTTCGTTTGGCTGAAGTTGCTGAGTCAGTTAAACAAGTCCAGGAAGCCTCGGAAGTGGGTGGGATCTACCCTGAAATCCCTCTAAACGTACCTCAGAAAAACACCTGGGGCATGCTCCATGTCAGGTCCAACACCCACTGGAGAAAATAAAACTATCGGCCTACTTTATCACAGCCGTTTCCTAATGAGCTCCCTCTAAAAAATTACAAGGGAGTCACTGAGAAGGTGGATCTCTGTTGATTTACTGTAATACTGTAATAAAGTATTTAATAATGCATATTTTTTTCATTAAAAAATATATATTCAGCTATATGTATGGCATACTTTGAAACACATAAATGTACCTCGTTTTGTTTCACATGTTTTACATCAATGTGGTTGTCTGTGCTAAGAAGAACTCATGTAGCTAAATACAATATCACAGATAAGAGCTCTGCACTCATTCATTTTAAAATGGATAACTCTTACGTTGTTCTAATTCTTCTCCCCAGGATATCGTTGCTTCAAGATGGTCATGTTCTTCTCCGGCTTCATGTTCGGATCGACGGGCGTTCTTGTGTTTTACCACAAGGAGCCCATATTTAACGCCCAGCTGGGGCCGGAGACGAAGGCCGGCGTGGGGCTGGGGGTGGGGGTGCTGTGCGGACTGATCACCATGCTGGTCTCCACACTGGGACTCGTCCTGAGCGGCCTGCAGCTGGGGAGCCTGCTCTCACTCTCCACCCTGCTGGTCGTCGGACATTTTCACAGCCTCGCTCCGGCGTGGGGGCCTCTGGCCGTCACGCTGGCCGCCAGCGTGGCCACCGCCGCGCTCACGCTGCGGTGGCAGAGGCTGTTCAGCATCGCGTACACGTCTGTGTTCGGAGCAACGGTGGCCGTGCTGTGTTTGGACTACCTGGTGGGAGGGTTCAGGCTGCCGCGGCAGACGTACGACGTGTTCGGTCAGGTTTCCCCGCAGCCGCTCTGCTGGTTCAACTGGGCGGTCGCTGGGATCTGTCCCGTTTTGAGTCTTGCAGGTGTGTTGGTGCAGTGGTGCTTCACCGCAAGAGGAATATCCCACACAGAAGGTGAGCCTCACTCAATCCAACGCCATTTTGTGCTTTATTTTTCAACCAAAACACAAAATCTCCCTCAGTGACGTTAGACATTCATCGCTCGTTTTTATTTCACGACAGTTCCGCATAAGAAACAGATGAAACATGGGAAAAAGCACAAGTGTAGAGAGTCGGTGAGAAGACCTCCGCACTACCGCCGGCGCAGGCCTCCACCCCTGAAGCGCTACGCTGGGGACGTCCTGGCACCGGTCAGTCCCGTAACCAAAATCTGTGAATTATTCCATGTCTTTCATGTGTGATATAACCCTGTGTCCTGCCCCTTTCCGACTTTCAGAGTTATCTCCAGACCCTGAAGGAGCATCAGATGGGAACGGGCTCCTCCACCAGCAGCGTCAGCACCATCACCCACACCCTGATCGACTTTGACTTTGAGACGGGCTCCATGGTGCCTCTGACTGCCGCCTCTCCCATCTTTTCAGTCTAAACGAGCACAGCACCAGCTATTTGGAATCTTTTTTGTAATGTATTTCAACGCGTGGTTTGAATTCTCCCCAGACACCATGAATGATTGCAAAACAGGTTCATGCAGCATCCACAGTCAGTGGTCATGTTATGCTTACATCCTTCAGCCAGCTAATCTTACACTGCTTTATCTTTCATAGAAAAATTGTAGTGCTTCTTTTACTTCCATAAAGCTAACCTGTCCGTGGACACATACATATTAAACATGTATCAGATATTACAGGATAGAAGGTCAAATTTGCACATCTGTTACCGATCATGATCAGGATGTATATAAGAAAAGTAATGTGCAATGGCATCCAGAACAATAAACCAATAAAGCATTGATTTTAAGTTCAGGGTTACGGCCTGCAGTTTTTTTTTTTGTTGGTGGTCTTATGTTAATGTTGTTGTTTTTTAAACATTTTTCGATTTAATTTCGTCCTCACATAATGAGCATTTAATACAATTCTGTAGCTCTCCACAAATATAATCCACATAAAAAAATACAGCCTTTTTTTTTTTGCCAAACTTTTGTCTGCTAATGGAAACGGGTTCATTTTATCCACTTATGAGGAGCCTCAATCACCAATTCAAGAACCCAGCAAAGTGAAGAAGCAATTATGAGATGTGGTTTTCTTCAACCTTAACGTCCTTTTCACACTTTTAAATCAAACAAAAAGTATCTGTTTTGGAATACTTCAATGCCAAAAAAATCTATGCACAACTCAGCATTTAACAGCAACGTTAGTGTAAGAGCTTCCAACATAATAAGGAAAACCAGTTTACCCACGTTGCTTGTGAAAGAGGATAAATGCATTTTTCCCTTCAGAATCTGCTGTCATTTTAAGGCTTCATACATTCTTAAAGGATACTTACATTGGTCCAAAAGTGAATGCTTCCCACTTACACAAAGCATTTGGAAAGTTTATGGTAGTGTTTTGGCCAAAATAAATATAGAAATGATCCCTTGGAAGACTTTCTGTATCAGCCTCAGAATCCATCTCATGGAGCCCAATAACTGATGATATTGCCGATGTTTATGTTTATGCCAAATGCATAAACATAAACATAAACATAAACACCAGCTCAAGCAAAAGCAATTGGGGCATTAGACGGCAAGAACAGTCGAGCCTCTTATTTCTCGCTTTATTTCTTTAAAGATTTTATTGGCCACCATTGCTGAGGTAGCAAGGTCATTATTGAGTTTCTCTAACTGGATGAAGAAAAAGAACTCACAGAATACACACTGTGTGCAATTTACATGAACACCCAAATAAATATGCAAAACCTGACTACGGCACACACACACACCAGCTGACACTCTCACACACCGCGTCACACCTGGTAGTTAGATAAAGTTCACACGAGAATATTCAAAGAAAAAAAATACAAAAGTAGCATTTGTTTTATGAATAATAGCTGCTACCGGCTTTTAATAATAGTGATACAATCCCCTCATCCAACCTTTAACAGTGGCTGTTGTTTTGGATGAGGAGCAGTGATCTGTAAAATTATAAAAGTAGAAATACACAAATACTTTGTTCCTTTTATTAATGACTTACTAAAGACAGATTTATAAGGATAAGACCATGTGAGTACTATGACATGAAATGGACTTCACAGAAAACTGAGGCAGATCCACGCACCCACACTTCTCTCTCTCCTGTAAACCCTAAAAGGTTTGAGTTGGGACATTGGCGACCCCTGGTGGCTCAGTCATCACACTGCATCCAGTGCGCGGCAGTGTCCAGCGGATAGTCCTTCTCCACCGCCTGCTTCTGCTGGCTTAACCGCCAGTGCTTGCTGCCTTTAAACACATACACGTGGCCGTCAGTCCAGGTCAAAGCAGCGTCCATGTTGGCAGGGGCCCCCCGGAAGAGCTGCCCAATATATCTGGGATATGAACGCAGGTCCCTTGGACCAAATTCGTCCCACAGCCAATATCCAGAGCCCTAAAATAAATAAAAAAAAGAAAGTCAGTCGACAGCATCTGAAAGTTAAGCCAGAGGAATGTGTCAGGAAATAGGGATATGCATGAATATGTTTTCATTACTTTGAAAAAGACCATCTTTTTGCTGTTGGGTAAGTAAAGGGCTGAGTCAACATTGGCAGGGATGTTGGCCAAACGTCTGGGGAAGCCGCTGTCCAGTTTGAAGTTGGTGTATCTCCACACTTTGTCTCCTGTGGGAGATGACACGTGCTGATCAATTTCTCACAGTCACAAAAAAAAGTTATGAAACATTTGCCAAAATTTCTCTAGTGAGATTTAAAAACAAAACAAAAAAATCAATAGATCCACCTTTAAGAAAGTAGGACTTCCCGGTCCTCTGGGAATGAACCGCCGCACTGAGGCTTCCAGGCAGCTCCTTCCAGAGGGAGGAAATCCCGGTGGGAGTGCTGCAGCCAGAGCTGGACACCGTCCACACATACTGACCGCTGAAGGCGTAGGTCTTACGCGTGGGACCTGAAGTTTCGCAGAACGAGAGGGGAAAAATACCATTCAAAACATCTCCCTGAAAGAGGGTCAGTACTGGACAGTTTTCTTCAGAAACCCAACGAGCCCACACACCTAACATCACAGCATCCAGGGTGGCCGTGCAGGGATCCGGCACGGCTCCCCGCGGCGCTGGCCCCGGCGCGCTTTTGGGCGGAGGACTTTTGTCCGGCTTTCCTGAAAAAAAAAAAAAAGGGAAACAACTGTACGTTGCACGGACAGCGCTCGAACAACAGCCCACATCCTCCTCGGTGTAAACACGGTCTGTCGTTACCGTATAGCGCCTGGATCCCCTGGATGTCGTCCGGGTGCAGCTTGAAGTCGGAGCGGTATCCGTTGTAGATGGGACCCATCAGCGCGCCGTGGAACTGCGAGTGGCCCAGGCCGAGCGCGTGGCCGATCTCGTGCGCGGCGACGATCCTCAGGTTGGTGCCGGAGCTCTTGCCCTCCGTCCACAGTTCGTCCTCATCGAAGTGCACGATGCCGGACTCGGGAGCGTCGGCGTGAGCCAAGACGCGGCCTGAGGAACGAGAAAGAGCGCACGCGTCAAAAGTTACCACACGAGGCCAGTTGGTTGCAATAAACTCCCCCTCTCCCCCCTCTTACCTCGCCCATCAAAAGGCACGGGGCATGACTTGTCTTTTCTGTGGAAGGAGATTTTGATGTCCGCTCGTCCATCTTGGACCTCCCGGAACGCCAAAGCCGACACATCGCTCCAGTACTTAAAGGCGTTCTGGATGGCCACTCGGGTCTTTCCCAGACCCAGGTCGGGGGTGTAGTTGTAAATTCGGTACGTCAGCAGCTTCTTACGCCAGTAACCTGCTCAATCGAAGGCAGAATTGAATTCTTGAACCCACCATTGCGCGTCATGACGCACAGGACACTTACCCATGACGCGGTATTTCAGAGCCTCGTTGCTGAAATGGTCCTCCAGCCCGCACCGAGGTTTGCTCATCGCTGAAAGCGTGGCCGCATCCAGGCGTCCTGATGCTGGTAGGTTGGCCCCTCTCTGAAAGATTCTGCCATTCAAAGAAAAAAAAAGTACTCACGTTTGATTCAATCTCAGTTTAAAAAGAGAGAGAGCAACGAGAAAGCAGGTGTGGTCACCTCAGGGCTTCCGCTATCTTCTCAGGTGGATGGTTTGTATCTATACTGTTTAGTGGGATGTGCAGGTAGCCATACTTCCTTAAATACCCCTAAAGGGAGAACAGTTAATTAAACAAAGACAGGATACATTTACTGAGATTTATGCGCATTTTATCTGAAAGCAGAAATGCTGGGGGGGGTATGTATCTCTCTGGTATGTATCTCTCTGAAGCAATCTTGAACAAATTCGCCCATGATTTGAAATTAGTTGACTACAAATTCTACACCACAATTACCACATGTCCACTCTGCTCCTCAAAACTGCTTCAGAGTATATGGAGGTTTCAATTCAGAGGTGCATATCCTGGCCTGGTTTAAAGTTACAGTTGAGCAGTCCCCCCCCAAGTTTAGCCTTTTCCTTACCACTGCCTCGTTGAAGTCGTGGCTGCTCTGAGCAGCAGACGAGGCTGCTGTCAGCAGAACAAGAGGCACCATTAACTCCAACATACTGTCCGTCAGCGGGGCCTGGACCCAGCACAGCCAATTCCCTGTTCGTCCACCGATTCACAAGTGTGCTGTCTTCCTGGGTACCGCCGCCTCCATCCCGCCTGCATCAGCCCTGGAACAATGCTGGAGTCGGTCCCCTTACTTTGGGGATTTGGTTTATATACCCAAGTATTTATTGTCGGGCCTGCCCACAAGCCACACAATAAAACTTCGACATGGAATGTAAAAAAGAAAAAAGAAAACATCCGCCCAGATTTAGGACGCTAACTGCACTTAATCGTTTGCAGCCTTTTGTCTCAAGGACTGTAAAAATAACTTCCCACAAAATGTTGTTTACTTCAAAAGAAGACAATCGATTAGGAATGATGACCAATGAGATTGAGTGCCTCCGAAAGTATTAGAAATGCTGAATAATGACTTTTGTAACTCCAGTGAGGCAAAAAACAACAAAAATAAAAAAAAATGACATTCAATTAAGCTGTGTTGGCATTATTTTCCAGAAGTGCACACCAGAAATGTCGCCTTTGCTTGCTTATGAATCGCATTGTGAGTTTTATTCAGCTAAATCTGAGCATTCCTTATTTTATGGTTCCCGCTAAGCGAGGAAAACAAGTAACCGCATATTCTCCACGGGACAGCAGCAGCTAATTATATTGTTCTTAATGTAGGGGCCCATCCAGAAGAAAAACCAGCCACGCCTCCACATAACCAGCACAACAAATTGGCCCGTAGCAAGCGAAAGGATGCAGCTCCAATGTGTCTGCGTTCCTCGTAATGGAATCGTGACCCATAAAGCTGAGATGGTTGAGGAACCCCGCTTCCACTTTTCATGACATGGCTGAAAGTGGATGACCGTGCACTGGACAGTCTCTGTTCTCTTTCCAGCAGATGGTCTCAATGACCATGTCTTCTCCTCTCTCTCCAATTCCATTCCACAAAAAAGAAATGTGACAGGAGTCCAGCTAGAATGGACTTGGATGTGGATTTGTTCCATCTTTGTTTGGATTGTCCAACCATTTTTAAGAGTGATGATCTATCAAATATGAACAACCATCAGCAATCAAGCCATTAAGTTTCTTTTGAAAATGTGATTTACGGCCTAGACAGAGACCCAGAGTCTATGACAGATTTAGCGTCTTGCTCAGTCTTCAATTTTAGTTTTTTTGGCTTCATATCCACCCATAAACACTCACAGCTTTTTTGACAAAAAAACTTTTTTTTCCTTATTTCTATGGCTTGAAAGACTTCTACAAAGAGATGCTTCACAGGCACAGATGTTTCAGATCCTTAGGTTAAAAAAAGACTAAAGGCACTGTCATATTTTTTCTTTTTTTGCAGTAAAGTGCTTGATATTTCGAGTACAGACGAGCAGCAAACATCTGTAAGCCTTGAGAATTAGCAGTTCATTTATATGGAATAAGCACAGTAATTTCACAGTATTTTTATGGGAGTGTATCACGCTAATCATGAAGGAAATTACTGGGGGCCTTTACGCGGTCAATGGGGAAACACAAAGCTATAAAAGCTCCTCGGAAGACTTTGGATTGATGAAATTCACCTTCAGAGCCTCTGATGAACAGCTGGCCGACACATCTGTCCAGAGAAAAGTGTTTAACAGAGGTCAGGGTCACTAAAGCACACATCTGGGAAGCTAAAGACGTGCTTCCTCGTGGGCTCACGCTTTTCTTCACGTGTCCACGGTCAAGCACTGCCCCTCGTTAAAGATCAGAAAGTACAAGCCAGAGCACTGTCGGGAAATGTTTCCACCTTTGTCTAGAGAAAAGATAACTCTGTGAACTGTTTTACACGGGGTGGAAGTTTCATGCTCAATTCGTCAAACCTGTCCCTTTAAAAAGCTAAAGGGAAAAATTCCCCTGTTGTATTAACCATAAATCACTCAGGGATTTCAAGGTATCATAACAAACTAGATGTGAGGCTTTTAAAATCTTTTTAAAATGATAAAATACAACTCATTTTGGGAAAATAACTGCATTTGGCCGGGCTTCTATTTGTCATCCAAACCTTCTGTTTTGGAGACCTCATCCTGTGAGATGACTTCAAAACAGATATATGCCGAGAAGGAATATGTCAAACGTGAGGCTCATTTGTGTTTTTAATGGGTTTTAAACAACAGTGGAGGTCTAGACACACAGAAGGACAAATCTATATAAGCCTTTAGCCACACAGATAACATCTGTTCGGAGGACCAGTTCCACTGAGCAAGTTTTACTAAAGAGATGAGACGGACCTTTGAATCAGGGTGTGCTGGCTGTGTAAATCACCATGTTAGTGTGACCAGAGGTCAGTGGTCAGTAGTCAGCGGCTCGAGCACTTTTTTCTGAATCCGTCAGGAAACCACATTCTCTTCGGAGAAAAAAAAATCTTTTTCGTCGTTTTATTTCACGAGTGCTTCCTATTCATATGAAAAGGTACAAAATGCATGGAACAGACATGCACAGAACAAGTCACCATGATCTGTTTGGAGGATATTTAGAAATGACTGGCCTGGGCCACATAATCACAGAAGCAGGATTCGTAATGTTTTCAATGGTATTCAGGTATCTAAATCTAAAAAAAAAAAAGAAGAAAGAAATGTACTTGTCCGCTCAGAAGATTCAATGTCCAGCTGACCTCCTGTCCTCAGGCCTGAGCTTCCAGTGTCCGTACTGAATATCAAATAGGTCAAATATCTATGGAAGCTATGAACGGGAGGCTGCAAATGTCGCATCCTGTATGTAGTCCGTATGCTCAGCTGTCCTTTTTTTTTATTTTTATTTTTTAATTATCTTCAAGAATCCAGCTCCATCTGCTTTAACTCCTCCTGCAGGGCCTTGGCCCGGCCCAGCTTTTCCAGCTGATCCTTTGTTGGCTCCTTTATTTCCCCCGATTCCAACTTCTGCTGCAGCTCTTCCACCTGCCGTAGCTTCTTTTTCAGGTTTTTGATCTTTTTGGCCTTTTCGGCCGCCGCTGCTGAAGAGTCATCGGGGCCCGGCGCCTCCGTCTTGCCCCTTTCCGAGATGGACACGTTCTCCATGGCGCCGCTCGCCGCCTCCACCTCCGCGTCACCGTCCTGGCCCTGGCCCTGGTCCTGGTCCTGGTCCTGGTCCGGGTCCGGGCCCTGGTCCTGCTGCTGTTTCCGTTTCTCTTTGCGCTTCATGTTGCGTTTGGCGGACTTGGAGAGGCCGGCCGTGTCGCCGTCCCCGCTGCCGGGGACCTTCTGCTGCTGCTGCTGCGCTTTGTCTGATTGGCTGAGGCCCGGGGGCAGCTCTGGTTTGCCCTTGAAGAACTTGACATACTTGTTTTCATACCTGAGGCAACAGAAAAAAACGCATTTACAGTGACGCTCGCCGTCGGTTCGGGGAGGATTCGCGTCACTTCCCCACATCGTCACCAAACGGTGATGGATTCATTTTTGAAAACGCAGTCTCACTTACACAGGGACCTCCTCCTGGGGCACGTAACCATCTTTCACCCGTCTCGGCTTCCTCCATGTCCCGTCAGGCCGCTGCGTAGCAGCGATGTATTTCCCTGGAGACAGAACAAACCACTTTAGCTTGGAACCCACGAGTCATTCAAACCGGAAGACTCTGATTTGCCCCGGACATGCTCACCTGTGGTCAAAAAGTCTACATCAGTACAATCAATAGTCACGTCAACAACAACGTTTACACAGCAGGACGGCATTTATTAGTTATCCCACTGCGTTATTTGGCCCAGGACGCAACAGGATCGATCTAATAAAAGGCACGCAGGCTCAGTGGACTTTATTGTTCTCTGGGGACTGAAACCACAAAAAAAAAACAGGACTGTGTTGCTGTGCTGTAATGAAGAGCTGTAGTAGGTTTTGTAAACCACACCGTGTCGCTGCGCAGGCCTGCGTTTGAGTGCTGCACTTTTATTAGGCACAGGTGCAAAGAACAGCTCACAGCAAAAAGTTTGTCAAGAGAAGAGGCCTCGCCAGAACTTCATTTGGACTCCTGATAATCGGAAATGAGAAAATGTCCTTCTCATTGAGCCCTTTTAAGATAGTCAGAATCAATAAACTTAATGAGATAAAGTGTTAGGAACGCCTGTAGCAGCAACATCATAAAGCATGCAAAAGGCATCGGACTTTCAGGTAGCGACAGCAAACTTAAGCAGATCATTACTAAAAGTATTTCAGAGTACACACCTAAATCCAGTGTCTTAACTAAACGCTCCAATTCATAGTACCCTCTGATGTCAAACGCTTCACTGATCTGAAAAACAAAAAAGTAATGAACTCCTGGGAATGGATGAGTGGGACAATGACACATTTTAGATGGGGAAAGATGATGTTGTAAATGTCAATTACATTTGCTTGGTGTGTGTGTGTGTGTTGCCACGGCTGCACTTTTACTATTTATTTACACATGTGACAGACCCAACTACTTTATTATATCAGTGTTTGTTTTTTTGTGTAGGGGTGTGTTTATGTCATTTTAGACATCACAAGTTGACTTTCTAATCCAGGGTCCATATTCCCATATTTGAACGGGGGATATGTCACATTTTTTGTGTCAGTTTCATTACATTTGTTTTGCAATTCACGTCAGCAAAACATACCTGAAGAGTTCAGACAGGAATTATTGAAGGATAAAAATGGATGGATGGAGCAATAATGATTTAAATAATTTAAAGCCAGTGCTGTCATCATTTGCTACTCTCTATCTCAAAGTAAGAGGGAAGTGTCTCGGGGATGGCTATATTAACGCAGTGAAGCCTTTTTGGAATGTGGTTGCAGGCCTGAAATACATAACCGTACACGTGGCAACATGTGAAGTTAAGCTGTTGAAACAAAACACAAATTAAGGTTTAGTTTGTGATAATGATCCCACAAATCTCCACTTCAAGCGTTCACAGAAACTTTCTTATAGGACCTGTAAATATATAACGAGACGTTTGTGAATTAAGGTGGTTTATTAGCATACTTTACATTAAGTTTACTGAATACCTAATGGATTTTCTTTTTCATTTTTGCCATACCATACATATGTAGTCATGAACTGCTCAAGTACACAAGTCATAACTTTCTCTTTCCAGTAAATACAACAGGAACTGTGTTTTTGTTTTTTCCATGGCTGATTATAGTTTTCTTTCTGTCCAAACCAATCATTAATCCATGATGTGATGTAAAACAAAGCAGCTGGAAAAAACAATTCAAATCTTTGACCTTCTGAGGCACCACATTGTTTCCTTTACTTTCTCCAATGAGCAGGGTTGCGTTATTAAATCAGAACCAATTCAAGCTGAAAATGTTTCCTTTGCTCATTGAGACAACAAAAGCAGAAAACGTATAATGATAATAATTGTTACCATTTAAGAAATAAACTACACAAACCTACCCAAATCATCTACATTGTAATTTCAAGAAAACTTTATTTTTTTTAGATGATGACTACAACACTTACTTATATACCAATCTTGCATTTTGAATAAAGAGTAAATGAGAATGTCACTGGAGTGGGAAAACCAATCAAAGAACACAAAAAAGGTCGTTTAAACAAGTAGTTATTTTGAATCCTGCTATAATTGAATTATAGCCATAGCCCCCTCCAAGACAACATTAGCTAAACTCACTATTTTAGCAGAGAGGCTAAGAAGTACTGTTGCTAACCGGTTCATTTAGCCACATCCAGAGCTTTGCTCAAAAACGTTTTTTTTTGTGTATAGTTGTTGTTACATATTAAGTTAGCTTGTTATTTGCAACATTAATCTTGATTTTTTTAATGCAACCAAACATTATAAGCCATGGAGAGCGACATCAACAAACAAGCTAACTAGCTAAGACCGTCTCAGCTAGCAGCACGAGCTACCAGCCTAACCACTCATTTGGATTGATTGTTGCGTTTCCAATCTGTAATAATTTGAGTAATAGAAGGAAAGGATCGGATGATTGGAGAGGGCTGTGTGTACTGAAAGATTTACTTTAACTTGGCAAAGGTGTGCCGCATGCATCAGCCTTACCAGATTCATCTGTGACATAGGGGGTTGCCATTTTGGTAGTGTACTGTTTGGCTCCGCTCCTCTTAGTCAACCGCTTACAACGTCCCTACGCGTCTTAGTCTTCACTAATGTCTCCCACAGTAACAAAGCTAATATTTTTTAAGCATTTACCCTAACACTGGTCTTTCATTGAACACGAAAGCTGTCATGGCAGCTCATACAGACGGTTATTGAAGGCTGTACCGGGCGGTACGGGGCAACTGACCAAGCGAACCATAGTTACGGAAATGACGACAACTTGTTTCATGGGTTGCCAGGTTTGACGATAGACGCTAGATGCGATGAAAAATAAATAATTTATGTCTGGTAGTGTCTTTAGTAATTCAAATATTCTTTCATGTGTTGTGCTTTTTTTTCAAAGAGCTGAACAAAAAGGGTTGTAAACATGAGCCACCTTGGGTCCATTACTCTGATGCAATTACCCCTCATTTAATCCGGTATCCCTGTATATAAAAATTAACACACATTATAAAATAGTCCTGAACCCTCCAGGAGCTACATTGGTACCATACCTCTGAAGCACTAGTAGTTTTGTATAAAGAAGTTAACAATTAACGGTATTTTTTCACAAAAAATTAAGCCACGGATACTTCTGTGTGACTTTTCTTGCGGAGACATTGTTTGTAGTACGGTAGTTTTTACATACTCTTATCTGAAGCGTCCTCCGTCACTGCTTAGACGCATTAAGAAGGGGTTCCTTGAGTCCGACCTGGCAACCGAGAAGGAGCCTGATTGAGGAAAATATTGGCCACAGCAGCAGACTACTTGGCATTATAGACGGCTGGCGGTGGATCTGCAGTAACCTGCTTCCAGAAGCTACGGTTCACTTTGCTGCCAACATCAAGTACGTAGTTATTCATTCTTTACGACAAACACTCTAGACTTCTTAGCGGGCTAAAACATATTTATTTAGATGGGAAATGAGCAATTTAAAACCAAAGTTGAGCTGCTCAGTAAAGGCTAGCCTCACAACACAGTACTGCCTTATAAAGCAATATGCTAGCTTAATGCTAATGCTAGCTAAAACTGCATTCAGAAGTCCACTCAGCAATAAAAGCATTTGCAAGGTGGACGGCATTAAGCTACTGCTGATATTTGCTCGAGTTGTTAACCCAAAGAGCGAAAGAATGTCGGCCACGGAGGCAGAGCCGTGCAAAGCTGTAACATTAAGTAATGTTAGCACGCTAACGGTATCGTAACCCCCGGACTGGGGATAAATGCGTTAGATGAGCTTTGAGATGAAGGTCTGAGCCCAGGAATCCGCAGTATAAGTATAATTCTAGAAAAAATAGACATGTGTACAAACGTAGACA